ATACGTTTCAAAACAGCTTCAAGGTATTCTATGTGTTCTGCCTCCGTCTGGCTGTACACCACCAGGTCATCGCCGTACACCTCTACGTTCTCTAAATTCCTCAGCAACATCAACAATCGTCTAAATGTAAAGGGCGCCCCTGCCAGACCAAATGGCATTCGCTTGAATTGGTAATGCTGTTTTCTCTTTATCACTGTCTTTTATTGGTAGCTGCCAGTAGCCCGAGTGGAGGTCCAGAACTGTAAATACTTTCTCATTCTGCAAACGATCCAGTGTCTCAGCTATCGTCGGTATGGCACATGGCTTCAGCTGCGTTATGCTATTTAACTCCCGGAAGTCCACGCAGAATCTATATTTCCCCTTTGACTTTCTTACTAAAAGTACTGGAGAACTGTGTTGACTGTCAGCCTCTTCAATAATACCTTCATCTAGCATTTTTGAATCTGGTGCCCAACTTCTTGTTCCAAGTGACATGGTATTCGCCGTGTGATGAATGTTGTCGTTACCTGACTAGTCACTGGGATTTCATGCTGAACCTTGTCACAGTAACCATAGAGGTCTCCATCTCCTGTGAACAATCTGTCGTATTTCTTAACCACCTTCATGATGTTTGGCGTTTCTGGGTACGGTGATTTTGGTACTTCAATCTCTGCTACCTCGCTGTTTTCCTGAGTGTTGAACGACCCGTACTTCGTTACCACTATTCCTGTTCTCGTTTTAATCACTGCACCCACTTCTCTCAGAAAATCGGCACCTAGGATTGGGCGTTGTAGGCGAGCGGTCACAATAAATGGGAATCTAATTTTCTGGCTCCTGATCTCAACAACGCAATATGACAAGCCCGCAATATCCAGTACATGTCCCCCAACCGTATGGACCGTTAGCGCACATGGTCTTGTGTTCTGAGACTGCCTCTTATCTATTTGAGAGACTGCCGCCCCTGTATCTATGAGACACGATATCCCGACCATTTATTCTCAATCTAGCATACACCGCCCTCGATCTATGGCTACTACGATATCAAGTCTAGTCGAAAAAACGAACTCATATTATATCTTTCAAAACGTTTTCTTTTCCGCCTCTCTGGACAATTCCTTCGCCAGTGTCCCGGTTTCCCGCATGCGAAGCATTAAATCTGTTTGTTGACGCTCATTCGGAGTGCTGCTGTCTCTTTCTGAAGGTTGTTGATTTGTTCTTGCCAGTTATTTACCTCTCGTGACTCCACTGCCGCTATTCCTGTACCCATTAGCTGTCTGGTCACCTTGGCAATTTCGCTAATGTCCATGGGCTGGGATGTATTGACTAGTCCTAACTAGTGGGCAATGGCATTCGGGACACTCTCAGTGAACTGTGCGGTCATCAGCTGTTGTTGGGTGTCCTCATCCAACGTGGGAAGCGCTCGTCGAAGTAGTTTGGTCAACTTCACACCCAACACTAGCGGATCTTCGTCTAATCCCAGCTTTGCGCTGCGGAACTGCTGAATCGCCTGCTCCCTGTCCGCCGAGCAGTCGAACTTCGCCTCCAGGCACTGAACCATTCTCCGCCTAGTCTCCTTCCCGTCACCACGTTCCACTCCGTCATATGCTACTTTCGCTCTGCCCCGCAGCAATGTTCCCAGCGCCACGACCTTCTCCTCCGGACCCTCAAATCCCCATCAGCACCGCGACCGCCTCCAAGTCCCTGAGGAAGTCCTTGATATCTCCATCCTCGAAATCTGTAGACTATGGGATCTTCATCATCTACAAAGACAGCGACACCAATTGATAAGACAGAAGATAACTAGAATACAGAATTTTTATCGAGAACAATTGGAATGGTACTGGTTACATATAGTACACCTTGCACTAACTCAGCCATTTGCAAATGTCTTCGTTTCTCCTCCATTCCTGTCTTGCTTTGCTCTTGACCTGCTCTTCATACACTCTTATCAGCAGCATCCCCTGTAATACGCCTGTGTTGTCCCCTGCGTTGCTCTTGGCAGAAACCTTACCCATTGCCGGTAATTCCCTATGATTCCTGCCACCATCTCCATATATACACTACTTATATCCGTTGTTATCAACAACGCCCACTACACCACATCTAATTTTGAGGAAAGTTAAATTCAACAGGAAATAGTGAAAAAAGCATTCACTTCATGATGCTGACAGTTACAATAACTCCAGCTACGAAATCTCTCATTTGTGTTGTTGTTAGTATTCTGTACATTGTATTGCAAACACGCCAGTGTACTATAGTTGAATACCTTAGGCCAATATAACTTAAAACGTTTTTGTGAATGTTGGTAACCAAATAGGGCTCGCTGTAGCAGGTTAGAAATGGTCCACCAAAGTTAGACGAAGATATGCTGCTAACTCATTGAACTACTGACTGTTATCTTCAGTCTAGTATCAATTTGTAGAGAGATATACAGAAGTGGCAATTAGTTGTAAATGCTGAGCAAAATAAGTGGCTTCGCATGTACTGTGCATATCTAGATACCAACTACTTCGATGTGCCATGTTAGCAGAAGTTAGAGTAAGTTGGAATAGGGCCTAGAGTGTTCAAACTAAAACGTCCTACCAATCCATGAAGTCTCTGAATGTTGTCCTAAGTCATACAGGGAGGTGCAGACTACATCTTTAGGATCCCCGAGACGATATGAATAAGTGGTTTAGGATCCTTGCTGAAATGGATGAAAATCAGTCACATTGGCACAGATGTATTCACTCTTTGACGTATTCTACAGCTGGAAAATCCTTACTAAACTTAGTGTTCAAATTCCCTCTACTCTTATATTACCTTCGTTTATATGTCTTTCCCCACCAATTTTTTCTTTGAATGCTCCTGAAGTGAAGTGTGTCAACTTGAAGTAATCCACTTGTATGTGAGGTTCTACGTTGGTTTTCCATCTGTCTTCAAATACACACCCTCAGTGAATGAACCTGTTCTGGTCGCTGTCAATCATGTGAATGAAGTAAATCATGTAATGTAATGTAATACTTTGCAAATTAAATCTCAACTTTGAAACTAGGAAATTAGTTCATTCAGTTAAGTGTCTCTTTAGATCAAAGCATCTACCGAGTATTTAGCCTCTAACTCAAAACAGTATTGCAATGAGAATGTGAAAACACTGTCCCAATTACGTGACCAATAATCAAACCTGACTAATTTAAAACTCTATACTCAGTTATTCACTCTATCATTGTTTTGATTACACATGAAACGTACTTACGTGTTGTTCTTACAGTTCCTTCAGTTACTACAGTCAGTTCACTATGACTGTTGAAAGTACTAGCCTATCTACAGAGTTTCGAGTCACACAACAGTTGTTTCCCAGAAGATGTTCTTCAGTATAATAGTTAATCTAACTTATCCGAAGCCCCAATGTTTAATCTTGGCTCGGATAAATCTTACGTAAACCGTTCAGTGGGATAAAATATTGTTGATTGTTTGCTGGTCATAAGACAGGATAAGAGAAGTGGGTGTTTTATGATTTGAAACTATGGGACGAAAGACCGACGGCAGTTTGCACAGTACAACCCCTAGGGTTGAAGTACAACAGGTCACACAAATTAGTTATTCGAGATGTTATCAGATAAGGCTGAGAAGTGAAATCAGATATGGCCGTGCTGTATCTTCGAATTAACGAGAATTCCTTATGTGACTTCCTCTTGTCTCTTCAAACTGCAGTTATTTCGTTACCCTCCCCCTTTCAGTTTTCAAAACCTAACTTTATTCTTTTATGTTGAGGATTGCCTGATGTCTCCCGTTAGCTGTACCAAGTTCATTTTGAAATACTTTACTCAAAATTGCTTTACCAGTCGAGTTGTGGGAGTATTGATTTCAGGTTTGTATTCTTCATGGACTGATATCAGTTGGAAGAATACTGGACAGCAGCGTACACCCATGACCCCATCAGGGATCGAACTCATGGCCTTCAGGTTCTGCTGCCAGGACCTTACTATTGAGTCACTGAGTCGGAATCCAATGATCCATATTTCCTCCTTCTATTAGTTCACAATATAGCGTGACCTCCATTCAATGCCATCACTGAGTATCTCACTTGGCAGTATTAAAGATGCTATTTAAAACTCGTTCAACAGCACCAGTCCTAATTAAATATTGACATACACGAGATCCATCTAATCGTTGAAAGATTTACTTGCTAGGATGACTTTTACAATCACCTGTTATGAGCTACACTCCCCCAACCTAGTTAGACAACCGTTACTCAATCAATATGACAGTCACAACAAAACAATAACCCAGTGAGAAAAAATCTTGATTGAGTATCTACTGTGGTATAGCCGAAACATAATGCAAACCTACTACGACTGAATTGAAAGGTCACCCTACGAACGAACGAAATAACCAATCAGGTCTCTCCATTTTGGCTAGAAGGGCAGATTTTCACAAAGTAGACAGTAGTCTGATTGGTTATTACAGTTATTGCTGTGGTTGCCCTTATAGTCACTCATATACTACAGGTGGGCTTTTTTCACTGTACGCCACAGACACATGTACTTTTAAAAAGAATCCTACTGTCATGTAAAATCGACACTAATCTAAGTGACACATTTCGACTGTTGTGATCTTGAACTCGATGTAGTGTAAAATGAGATGAATCATCCACTATGTGATCAACTAGTACCAAACGGGATGAGAAGGCTAATGAGCCTAGAGTGTGAACTACGTCGTGTTATACATGGATAACACCTAAACAAAACTTTGAGGACATCTAATTAGAAAAATGTACATGATGAGAATGACGAACAGGTGAGTGAACGATGACCTAGATAATAGACATGCATTATATGCCTCGGTCAATTCTTCAGAGTAGACACCATTTAACGCAGTAAGGCAATTAACACACTGCAATCATGTGTGTAACAAGCCAAAACATGAAATTGTCTAGGTGATAGATCTGGGCTTCAATATCTTATGAACTGGTACTGGTACTAGCCTTTTAAAATGAATCAACGAAGAAAAAGACAAATCAAATTTGTTTAAAAAATCGTCTGAGTGTATATTTTAATATTAAGGCAGTAGTAGTAGTAGTAGTATATATATGTATATAAACATATATATGTATATATATGTATAATATGTATATATATATACATATGTGTGTATCGGATAGCAAATTTATTCTGTGGTCATTTGCGGAACACTTCTATTTTGAACCAAACCTTCATTCTTGATATGCATCTAAAGTATGTGTCAGCACCTAAAGATTTACATACATTGTCTGCTTGAACCCAAATCACCGCCAATATCGTTGTCAATAATAGTAGCGGTAATAACGGTAATAATAACAGGAATAATAATAATGGTACGATCAACAACAAGAACAACAATACGAATAATAAGCATTCCCCGTTTGAAAAGACGCCGGTAAACAGAAAAATCATCTTGGAACAATTGTTTGATAGTTCTTGAAAGTTTGTTTGCTTTCAAGCACTATCAAACAATTGTTCCAAGATGCTTTTTCTGTTTACCGGTGTCTTTTCAAACGAGGAATGTTTATTATTCGTATTGTTGTCGTTGTTGTTGTTGTTCGTACCATTATTATTATTATTATTGCTGTTATTATTACCATTATTACCGCTACCATTATTGACAACGATATTGGCGGTGATTTGTGTTGAAGCAGACAATGTATGTAAATCTTTAAGTGCTGACAAATACTTTAGATGCATATCAAGAATGAAAGTTTGATTCAAAATAGAAGTGCTGCGCAAATGACCACAAAATAAATTTGCTATCCGATAAGGGCACATAACTTGTAGACCTTTAAGTCCACTGGCTAAGCAGGCTAAATCAAAGGTGACAGTAGGTGGAACATTGTCTCGAGATAGAATAGGCACCTGAGTTCCATCTTTTAGTAGATTAGCAACAGCATTTGACTGATCATTTCTATTGGTATCCATACACCTTGAAGCACGAATTACATTTAAACCCAGTGTAGGTAGAGTATCGGGCTCATCAACTGTTTGAGAAAATAAGAAATGACAGAAATGACAGTAATTATTAACAACTGATATTAGTTAGAGAACTAATCACATAAAAAGCCGATGAATGGTTATCTCATTCTAATTCCTGATACTTCAGCACTACAGACCTTTTCAAGCTTAATTACAGAAAGGAACCTGTGATTTAGGTGTTAAAGTATGCTGATATCAATAAATTGCAAACAAATGGTTAAAATTTTTCCAAATCTCCCTAACTAATGATCAATGGTAAACAATAAAAAAACACATCGTACTTGTACTTGTTGTTGTGCTTGTAAACGATTGTACTGTATTTCTGTCCAATGTAAAGTGCACACTAGACCAAACTGAATGAAATCAAAAGACTGAACTACTAACACCCGTGAAATATAAGATGATGACTCATCACCGGTTTGCACTGATTTAGTAAAGTGGTGGAATCCAGTGTCCACTTCATTTACTTCAGGGTTGCTGACAAAATCTCAGCTTTGATACAAAAAGGCCCATCCACCATTTACCACCACCTTATCCCGATTACGATATCAGCGGGATATGTAACTACCTATTAATTGATGATTATACTGTAGGATAGTCAGTCGTCTGTCCTATTATATACTACTGTAAGACATGACTACTAACGTTTCAAAACACTATCCAGTAAATAATACTGCAACACTATGTTCACTGTCAAATAGGCATTCAATATGGCATTAGACTCCACCAAAGTGTTCAAATCCTACCCTTATACTAAGATTATAGAGGTTACAGGTTAACTTATCGAATTTCTCGCATACAACGGGATAACCAGGTGACCAGTGTTGAGTTTCGATGCAGAGTACTAGGTAAGGAAGGCAAGTCAATCGATGAGATTGTGAATCTTCAGTGAAATGTCCTCCGCACACCATGGTGGTTTGTCTATCTCGATATCTGATAGTAGTTGAATTAAGACTAGAATAAAAGAAAACCACATATGGTCAAAAAAGGATTGGGATCAATGCATGAATTCTTTATTCTAACCAAGTAGGAGGGCGCAAGCTGTCTGGCTAGGATCTTGACGATGATAGGAATCAACCATCGGAGATTATTGATGACTTAGCTCAAAGTCAACCACAATGGTATAGAGGAATAACTTTGAAACGTTAAACATCTTCGAAAATCCTCGTCTATTTTCACTCACTTCTCCAATTGACTATTTCAACTTCGAAGTCATATCTTTTCTTTGCATTGGTGTTTGGAAGTGTAGAAACTTTGACTGAAGTACTTAATGATTGTGTGACCTGTCTATTATTCTCAGTATTATTCAGTCTTGACAAACTTATAGAATTGCATAGTGAACCTCACTGAACTGCTATTCACATGAGCTGTGTTCTACTTTGTAAGTGATGAAGCCAGTTCAATACAAATAACTCAATAAAGACTTTAAAAACCTAATTTTTAGTAGATTTCATTCACTAAGATAATGGAGAGAAAAAATCCACTTCAAAATTTCGGACTTTGAGTACTTGGTTGATTAAACCACAATTCTTATAAGCTATTAGGAAAGAATTTCTAGTCAGCACTATGTAGACATTAATGAAGCTTTGACGATACTGTTTCATCAAACACAATGCTCAAGATTGATATTCGTCGTTTAGTGTACGACTTTAAAATTGATGAATGAACAAAATTTTACAATTAAAAAAAGTAAAAACAACAACGGAGAATCGTCATATGTATACAAAAACATACCCGTTAACAGAATGACATGTCGTAGTAGATAAAATTCTTGTGCACTTAGACCAGCTTGACGTATTTCTGATAAGGACTGAAGGAGTTCATTAGCAAATTTTCGATCAGGTCGCCTATTTCTTGTTACTCCACATTTTTGAATGTCTGGAAGTAAAGACCATGGAATTTCAAGTTGAATAGGATTCTGGTACTTTTTATCCTCTTCATATTGTGATTTGTCTTCAACGACAACAACATCCAGAGAATGTTCAACCATACTTAACGCTAACAATTTTTGCCAACACTGTCCAAGTAAAGATAACCAAGGAAAACTATCATTTTTCTTATTCAAACAATGTACTTGTTTAGATAAACCATTTAAAGTCCATAATTTAGGTTTCAAAGTTGAAACAAGAGGGGTGGAAAGAGCTACAAACTCAGTGATTTGTCGTAACCACTCGGTAATTCGTGCTTGCACCGGACGAGCAGTTTTCTTAGCTAACTGTACATAAGGACAATTTCCATTTTGTTTATCAAAAACACCGGGTATAGTAGAAGGTAAAGAAAATGAAGTAATACTTGGTGACAAAACCATAGAATAACCAGTGAGATCAATCGGCTCTTCAGAACCAGAATCATTTGACAGAGATGACGTTTGAGGAGATTGTTGTAAGCCATTGAACCAAACCCTGAGATTTGTGGAGTAGTTAGATCAGAAGAAACATCCATGATTCTAGCTTGAGCAGACAAACTTTGCTGATGAACTCGAGGACTAGATATACCGGACGAGGAAACACTAGACCTTTGAGGTAGAATAGCACTTAAACTTTGTGAACGAGTGTCAATATGCGAGCTATTCATTGCATTTTCATGTGACTTTGAAAGTGCTCGATGATACAATGTACCTTTTGGTTTTGAAAAGATTGAATCAGATATTGCTCCTTCCAAATGACGACGATGTTGTACACGAGCCTTAAGATTAGGATAAAAATCGGAAGCTGCACCAACAGATGAAGCATGTGGTCGGGTATATGGTCGGCTATTGGGAAGTTTACATCCAAAAGAGTTTGCTCGATGACGTAAATTACAATACACTGTAGAGTTTTTAACCGAAACACAATGATTACTTGTATTCATATGATGAGGAGTTACGAAAGAAGAGGATAACACTGGAGAATTTGATAGTGGACTGTCTATTCTCAAATCACTTGATTTCTCATTATTTTCCACAAGTGATTGACCGGGAGAAGTAGAAAGTGAATTTTTCGAGGTTACTGAATTTTGTGAAGAATTTTCTTTAGAAATGAGCAAATTATATAATAATCCTTGATGAACCTGCTTAGAAGGATGATTATCAATAAATTGTACCGGGTTTGAAGAAGCAGGTGGATAAGGACTAGTCCTAGAAGAATTTATACATTGTGCAGATGTTGTAGTAAAAGATGCAGGACTATGTATAGATGAATCAACTGAGGAATTTAAACATATTCGAGATAACTTTTCACTTCCTTCAAGCACCGGTTGACTGGTAAGAGTAGCATCGGTTGGTTGAGGTGAAGATAATAACCTATCACTTTCTGGAGATAATCTCTCCTCAAACTTATGAATTCTTTGCTCACATTCAACAGTTTCTTTTCCATACGCATTGGATAATGCTAAATGAGATTCTTCACTTGTCACAAGAGCCTCTGCGATCCTGTAGACAAAAGTGAATCAACACAAATTTATCATATTGATTTTCAAATTCAATAAGTAAGATAATATACTGAAATGAAAAATGAATTATGTTTTGTTAAAACTCATCTCACAGCACGTATAATGTCTATATAAAAATCAGTATTATTCTTTTTGAAACTTCATTGTTTATCAGGATATGCTATGGTATAATTACTAAGTCAATAATCAACTATGACTAGAAATGAATACATGTCGTTGATGACACTGTTGGCCGTCATCAACACAACTCTGAAGGACACTCTACCAACCACTGAAATAACTGATTAAACTATCTACTTGTGAAAAAACTGACTGAATTCAAAGGTCATCCTAACAGCTGATCAGATGACCAGTTGAGTGGCCACGCCCTAGTAACGACTATAACAACCAATTAAATTATTTTATTTAGTCTAGAAAAGTAGCCTTTTTCTCCTAAAATGTAGAACTCTCACTGATTACTACTGTAGTTGTTAGAGTGATCTTTCAAGTCAATCCAAGCTACGAAGTTTGACAAGTCAACATTGTACACGTTCGTGCAGTAGGTAATGAGGTACACTCATTGTTTCAGGGCTAATGATACTATCTGACAGTCCAAACTTCGGTATGTGGAACCAACCTCAAATCTGTCTGATAACATTATAAAGCTTTTTGCGGTGAACTTGATTACTAGTATTACTTTAAGAGCTACTGCTGAGATAACTATTTATGTTTATTTTGTGAAAAAAACACCATCCTAGAAAAAGTACCGAAGTTTGACTAGTTATTTCAACGGTTTCTAGGGTGACCTTCAAACTAATTCGTTTACAAATGAATGAATGAGAAGTGGCCTCTAATTGTTTATTTTAGCCGTTGCTAGGTGAACTTAAAAGTCACTCAAAATCAGTGGGTCATATTTGTACGTTCAAGTCACTTCCAACTTAATAAAAAAATCCATGAGATAAATGTTTATGTCATACTAATCTTATTAGTTGGTTATGTATAGTGTGCCAGTAACTAGCTTGTACTCTTATGAACAGCTGTGCAAGTTGGTGCATTCCAGATAGAATTCTCTGAATTCCCTGTGCATACATGTCAGTGATATATTTATCTGAGTTTTGGAATATGTGTCAATACACAACTACAAGTTTTTTTTGCTGTGGGATCCCGATTTATCACATCTACTTGGTACTAGGTGCGGAAACTTATTCACAATCCGTTTTAGAAATAGGACGCTTTCACATTTTATGCATAATGTAAATGTGTACAAACTGAGTTGTTGTTGTTGTTGTTGGTGGTGGTGGTGGTGGTGATATATATTAACAATCATTTACATTCAATATAGTACTAGAAGTAAGGCAGGTTGCTTCCTTCTTTCAACTCAACTGAATGTACCTGCTTCCCAGGGAGTAATATCGTTCCTACTTAGACTTGAATCCAGATCACACTGTTTCAAGCATCAAATCGTTATTCATTAGGTGTCTGAGACACGATAACTATGATTAGTGCAACAGTACAGACATATTAACAGTTTGAACGATGATTAATATGCTACCAAACAGTATTTCAACACTTCAGCTGGTACTGAATTCTATCAGTTATAGATAATGAAGTAACGCACCTGATTTCGAAGCAATAAAACCATAGGGAGGTTTGTATCACTGAAGTTAAATGAGGAGAAATGATTTAACCAATGGGATCTATATTACATTATTATTTATTTTGAGGGAAATGAAGTGGAAGAATATTGTTCTTAAAGTTGTTTACGAGCGTTAAATACCGTGGCCATAAAGATCTTAGGGGCATTGAGTGCTGATAAGTTAACTCGTTTTTTGGAAACTTTTAAGTGATATGGCTCAGAGTCGACCTTAGAAGAATGGACACATCCACAAGTTACCTTCATCGTAATTGTCACATCAGATTTCGTTAGTGTTTTATTAGCTCTTCCTTACCTTTTTAAGACGACTTACTGGGATTTAAAATTTCCCTATTAGTTTCTATTTCCTAATCTCTCTTCTTTCCACCTATAACAAACACTGTGCTGAAATCAGTTAGAGCAGCGTGGACTACTGTAGCATATATGTCCTCTTCTGTTTGTTGATATACTTAACATTCACCTTACAATTGATACTGATACAGAACGAACTATCTGCTTGCTACCGGTTTGGAATTTTGTTGCCTCATTTTTGGAGTGACTTTAAAGGTCGCTCTAGGAACTGTTGAAGCCACCAATCAGGTTTCAATAATCCTGTCAAAAACGTTGTTTTTCATAAAATAAGGAAACATAATTGATCATCTCAATAGTTGGTGTGGTGGCCTCTAAAGTCATTCCATTTTTGTTAATACATCACAATTTATACTTTGCGTTATCTCCTGTCGTTTATTCCGTCTGACGTAGGTAAATCAGCTAGTGTCTGGGTTAATAAGAAAAGCGAGAGTATTTTGGGAACTTCATATAAATTGTGCTACCAGATACCATACCAAGAGGCGACTTTATAGGCCACCGGAGCAATAGCTGAAAACAATTAGACTTCTCTATTTCATGAAAATCTGTCTTTCCTGCCGAAATGGAGGAACCTAATTGGTTATTTCGATTGTCGCTGTGGTGGCCTTTAAAGTTGCCCTTCGAAGAGGCTCGAACATGACACAACCACTACAAAGGACAAGCCTAATGTTATATTGTTTGACTAATGGCCGTAAAGATACGTTGAATAGTTGTCACCTTCAAAAAGGCACTCGAAATATAATCAACTTCTGGTTTTGTATTTTTATCGGTTAGAGATGGGATCGACAATGTACATTTCTTCGTATTTGGGACCCAGTTGCGGTTACATGCATCATTATCATATCATCAATAGAAGTAGCTTACAGCTTAACGTGGAATTATCAATTATATCCTGTACACCAACAACAAAGGGAGAAATTTTGAAGAACCCCAGTAACCGTTCACCCTACTTAGTGTTGAAAGTAGCATCTAAACTCCAATATATTTTGAGAATGTTGTCTACGAGTAATCGTATGACATCACTCCGTTTTCGTGAATAGATATTTGTTACTACAGATTTAGTAGATAATAAATAACTCAGTACGTGTTTATGTACTCAACTGTAAACCACACTTGTTATCGGAGGAGTTTTCGTACTATGTTCATATCAAACAAGGCAGGGCTGAAAGTTATTGATTCAAATTGACGTACTCAAGCCAGTAAACCACACACATAGATTTAGTAATGAAAAAATTTCATACTTTACTTGCATAGTAGAGAAGATAGAGGTCATGAAGATAGATACCCAACCAACAACAACAACAAGCTCCAATCACCATCAATGGGAAAAACTAAAATGAAGTAGCCTCTTTCACCTATCTAGGCAGCACTGTCTCAACTACAGGTGGCGATGGCACAAACGAGGACGTCAAAGCAGCCAGGATCGGAAAGACAGCAAGACAGGCCTTCTTGCATTAACCCGAAACCAGTGTGGAGGTCTTCTGCACTCAGCATAAAGCCTGAACAACATCCGGATTTTCAACACCAATTCAGTCAAGTGAGTCAGTGCTTCTATGTGATGGTTGAGAACTTGGCGCGTTACGAAAGGGATTTCCAACAGACTATAGATATTCATCAACAACTGCCACCAACGCTGGCTCGTTACTGAAGCCCAGATGGATTGCCAGAATGGTGAGAATAAGCAAAAAGGAACTCACACTGGCTGGCTGGCTGTCAACGAACCAACCTACAACCTATCACCCAACAATATGCAGAAGGAGGGAGTGGAGATGGATTGGACTGGACGTACATTGAGAAGGTTGTTTGGATACATCTCTCACCAGGCGAAGCCATCGAGTGGAACCAAAATAGGAAACGACGAGTTAGGCGTCCGAGGTGAGGGTGACATAGAGGAGATGGTATGAGGAAGAAATGAGAGGTTGTGGGCAGTGGTGGAGCCAGGTTGAAAAGATTGCAGAGAAGAGAGTGTAATGGAGACGTGCTACTGAAGCCGTATGTTCCACTAGGAACCCAAGGGACAAATAATAATAATACTTGCATAGTATACTGTTTCAGAGAACAGCTGCAACTGACAATATCGACAGTACACAATAACAGCATTCCTCAATGACCAGATGTATCCATAAGAAGCGACAAGTTACATGAAACTGACATGTACAAAGAGAGATTTTCAAGGAAAGGTAAGATTCACAAGTCAATAAGCATAACTCTAGCATTAGATTACGAGAATGAAGCTCCTACTCAAGCTATTATAGTTTATACAACTAACTAGATAATATTAGTCCGGTATTATGGAATTGTGAGCCTGATTGACCAGCACATGATATGATATGATCATTAAGGGCAATAGTGAACACAATCATATTTTATAAGACTGAAGTACACAGACGAACAAGTAAGACAAAGTGTTTTGTAATCAATTAATTCAATTCACGAAATGAACACTTATAAATTTGACTTATATTCAATCAAGGTCACTGAGCACCTTATCAACCTTATTCACTTGTTATGTTCAATTGAAATCAATAATATTTCAATCATAAACAAAAGTGATAACTTATAAAATAAGGGTGATGTAATAGTGAGTAGAAATCGACAAAATATGATATTGTCACAGTACAGCAAATACAAAGAAAGTAACTTGATGGTGTACAAGTTGCACTCATCTATATATTGCCAATCAGCTTGAAAAAGTATGTAGAATATATTTTTTTGTTTCAACCTGAATAACCAGTATTTGCAGTATGTTCAATGTTGAAATATACTACTGAACTCGAGTAGTTAGAAAATGTGCAGGCTGATTTACAAACCACTAGCAAATTGATCATCCTATCTAAGGTATACCCCCCAATACAAGTCAGTTAGCCAGGCATCTGAATTGGTTGTGCCCTATGAGCTGAATTCGTCCGGGAAAACGGTTGATGAGCTCAACACCAAGCGAGTGAAACAGCTATTCGGTGTTAACCTGACTGGTAAAATCTACAGATCAGCATGAATGG